TTCGCGGCGAACAAAGGCAGGCAGCATGAGTCAACAGCGACAGGCTCCCACATCCTAACTCCGGCCTAAGAGAAAATTCTGCGTCACATAACCCTTCCTTTCAGTCAGGAGGGGAGGCGGGCATGCAATTGGGGCGCGAAAGGGAACCCAAGCACCTCTGAACTTGAAAATAAGTGTGACAAGCTTGTGACGTACATACCTGTGGTCAGTTGGAGACCACGGTGACTGCGAAAACTTAGAAAAAAATCCAAGCGGCAGTTCACAGGAATGCTAGCTCGTAGATGTGACTAGCACGGAGGGCGATAGAAAACGGAGGCCAGATAACGAAGCCAACGCTCCGCCACCACCACCACCACCTCGGAAAGAAACTGATCAGAGCGCGGCAGGGGAGGCACTTTAGGACCAAGCTCTAACATTGCCTACCCGGACCAGAAGGTTCGTTTCTTCGTTACCCCAGCGCATGCTAATTGGGTTTTCTCTCTAGATGCAGAAGTTCAACTATGCGCCGGCCCACAGACACACTTAAAAGTACAATTACCAAGTTTGGCTTTAGTGACAAGAGGAAGTGCTCACTGAGTTGAAAGTACGCCACGCTGCAGCCTTGGGTACAGAAGAAAAAACCCTCCGGGGATGGACCTCAATACCAGCTGCTCGAGTTATATAGAGAAGTAGAAAGCGTTGCGATCACCGGAATCGTATTTTTTACTTGTCTGATTCCGGTGATCGCAACGCCTTCTACTTCTCCATCTACTCACATACCTGAGGTGCGAACATTTGCTTCAATTCGTGAGAATTTTGGGCGCGAAGCGCTTCGCACAACTCGTAGCTGGGAGGTATTTGCTACACGCGAGGCAGCAACGTACGAGCAACTACGTTTTTTGCACCAATGCATGGAGGACGGACTGAAACCCCGATGCCTGAGGTATAAGTCTCCCGTTAGCACGACTAATGGCAGAGAAATTGCGAAGAGATTTACCAAGCAGATGACGAGAGCCCTGATCGATGACTGCCACCAGCGTCTACACAAATACCAAGCTATGATTGAGCAGAAGAAAAGAGTGTGCACGTGTTCTTGGTGATCCCATAACTGAAGACCTTGCCCGGACAATCGCTACACTGGCACATTTCAGACAAGCCAAGAAGCGAATAATCCTGGTTCAGAAGCGGAATAAGTTACAACCATCCGACACGGGAAGCTCAAACTTGATACATAACCTCTCCTCTAAGCAACTAACGGAACAACAATTACGAGTGCTCCAGCATGAAGCTTGTTTTAACACTGCCGATGCCGAGCCTGTCGACTTCATTGCAGCCCTAGAAGCCATGCTTGCGAGGACTCAAACAACGATCGACGAGAAACACTTCATTTGACGACGCTTCACCTCCTTGCTGATGACACACCGTCCAGCCCAATATGTGTCGAAGAGTGAGTCAAAAGCTATTAAAGAACTACAAACGGATGAACATATAATCATTCTGCCAGCGGATACGGGACGATCAACCGTCGTAATGAACCGTGAAGACTACAACGAGAAAGCCAAAAGTCTACTTGATGACAGAGATTTTTACACACCAGCACACAACTCAGAAGCAAAGGCAGTAGCAAATCGGTTGAATAAATTACTTGGCGAATTCAAAAGCCAAAATGTGATCACTGAGAACGATCAGCGCCTAATGAAACCAACAGATACTGCCCTGGCTCGTTTCTATGGCCTGCCAAAGGTGCATAAACCGAATGTTCCACTGCGGTCAATCGTTGCCCTAAAATGCAGCCCCACCTATAACTTGGCTAAATGGATGTATTCGAAACTAAAATTCCTCCAAGACAACTCTGATGCCTCGGTTCGTTCAGCCTCCCAATTCCTAGCAGACCTCCATGGCCGAAGGATTCAAACGGACGAAATGATGGTTTCCTTTGACGTAACATCAGTATTCACATCTACTTCACTGTATTTGGCACGAGACGTCTTACGCAGGAAACATGACGAGCTGTACGACAAAACCCAGAGTTCGCTCAAAAATGAACACCTCATGGGGCAGTATGATTCCGGTGATCGCAACGTCTTCTACTTCTCTATCTACGCGTTTGTTATCGTCAAAAGGAACATGCTGCAGAATTTCCATGAAATTCTCAACTCCATCTTCCCAGACGCACAATTCACGAGCGAAGAAGAAAGGGATCAGCAGCTACCCTTCCTCGATGTACTCTTCATGCGAACTTTCGACGGCAAAATCGAAACAACGGTCTACAGGAAGGCGACGAACACAACACAG